TACATTGATGGAGCACTAGAGAGCTATCATACTGTCTAGTTCTGAGTACTGACTGAATTCCATATATCATATTTTCAATATGACCACCAAGGCAAGAAGAGCCACTATCACGGTATACTTGGATGGATATTAGTTGATTGGAGGTAATCAACTGGAAGTCTTGCTTTCTCTAAGTTTCGTATTTATTGTCACTCGTCACCAAGGAACTGATGTATATTTGCCTATTAAAAAAGGAATAACACAGTTTACAGCTTTCTGATATTTCTTGCCTTCAGTTGATTGTCTACATGCTGTATTGTCACTTACGCCATACTTCACATAGTTACATTTCAGTAATGTAGTGTAGGTCAAAGATTCATCACAGGAATACTATCACACTTGTGAATAAAATCCATTTGTGTAAATCAAATGGAAATCCACTCAGGAACCTTGTGCATATTTGTGCAATAGGCGATTCATCATCATCATCAATATCAACATCGGACCAGGCATTACCACGTAACGCTCCCAGTTGCCACACCTCATATCACTACATCAAGTAAAAAGGCAGTGAGGTGAAGGATGAAGATAAGAGAATGCAGTCAAAAGAAATATAAAGTATTCAAAGAGAGAGAGAAAGAGAAAGGAAGAATGAGAAAGTGGTGAGATTCTGTATGGTGTCTTTAAAATGAAGATAATGTGTGTCTGTGTATACATCTGCACCACTGACATCGGTTCTCAGCCATATCACATAGAGTCTCCAACCACTCGTTCCGCTTGTCCCCCCCACGGACACCAACCACCTAGTCTGCATCGACCAACATCGCTCAAACCAATAGTCAAACACTTCATACATTGGCGCCAAGATTTAGTCTGGTCACCTCCAGCCCTTTTCCAGCATCCACCTATTTCGGCCAACATTGTGTGATGAGGCAATTGGTGACTAGGCATATGTAACACATGTCCCAACCATTTCAGTCGATGAAGGTTCACAACCTCGTCAACTGACTTACCTCTTCTCCCTCCCTAAAACTCTACACCTGACTTCTGCATTACTCACGTGGTGACACCACAGAATACAGCCTATACCGCGAAGACAACGATGGTCAAATACCTGAAGCCTTCTCATATCTTCCACTTTCAATGGTCATGTTTCACAGCCATACAGTAGAACAGACAGGACTGCTGTGCAGTACACGCGACCCTTAATAGACAAACGGATATCACGGCTGCACCATATGTGGCTTAAATTGGCAAAAGCCAATCGAGCCTTTTGTATTCGTGCAGAGATTTCATCGGCAACTGTTCCACCATGGCTGATCCTACTTCCAAGGTAAGTGAAGTGGTCAACACACTCAACCACTTCACTCTCTATTGTTAGCCGTGTTACCGCTGAAGACCAGTCCTGGAGCAAAAATTTGCATTCGGGTGATGAGAACCGCATCCCAAACATTCTCAAACTGACACTCAAAGTGTTCAGAAGACTCTGCATCTTGTCAGCATCTTCACCTAACATGATTATGTCATATGCATAATAGGTGATTAACCACACCTATTATATATGAGGATTAATGACACTACCTAGTCAGGCAAACGCGAGATCCCTTGGTTCAAACTCAACTCCCCTAAGCCAACGAAGCATAACTCTACCTCTTATATGCACGAAAAGTGATACTCTTTATCAAAACCCGACTTCATTTACTCTCGTCTAGTATTTCAGGAGGGAGTTGCAGACTGATATTAGATCATACTATAATGTAATAAACAGGCAAACAAATTCATTTACGCTTTAGATTACATTACAGGTAAAGATCAAAATTAATGAGATACATTTCTTGTATATTGACAAGCTAACCTGTTTAGTAGTCAATGATTTCGTCATAATCGCAGATGATTCTTCAGCTTGGATATTTTTAATTAACTCTTTCTTCAATTTCTTCTCTTCTTCAAATTTCTTATAAGCTTCATCATGTAACAGTTTCTTTTCTTTAACAATTTCACTAACTGAAAATAAAAAAGTACATTCAGAAGTTGTATGACTGCAAAAGAGATTGCAACTTAGGGCTTTCAGGCATCTTGTCGAATACGTTATTGACAAACTACGAAATTCATTCATAAATTAGTACGACCTATATGTAATGAATACAATCGTCGAGTATTTACCCTGACATTCGACATCACGACATTTCATAACCGCTTCGAGAAAATTTCATCTCCAAGTAAGTCACAAATGAGCCTTTGTTGTGATGCCCCAATTTTTGTATAAAACATTATTATTGATCTGAACATTTTAACGTGTCATTCACACACCATTTCTTTTACCACATGACTAATAGTCCATTTCCCACCCCCATCCTGATGTAAATCGCTGATTGGTTAATCTTTACTCTTACCATGCAGATGTCTCAAATTGAGGACAAGGTCATTTTCATATGTGTACATAGTCACGTGTTACAGGATTGGTTATTATATTATATTCTCAAAGTAATACACTCTCCCATCTGCCAGCTTCGTTCTTCTCTGTATTATCGTCTCAGGGTTGTGGTCAGTGTCTCTTGCATACTGTGTTAGCTGTCAGCTAAGCGTGCGTATTATATTCGTTCCTCAATATATATATAACTATTAGCGTACGAAAATATAACAGCCCTCGACTGTAGCTCACTGGTAACGTGCTCGTCATAAAACCTGAATGTATCTGGTTCAATCCCTGGTAGGGTTATGAGTGTGCACCACTTCGGAGTCCCATACCAGAATGAAGCAGCTGTCCAGTACTCTCAAACTGTCAATAGTTCGAAAGAAGCATTCTTTTTGATAAAGATTACCTCGTTAAAAAGTTTACATGTTTATATTTTTGTCTATGGACAGCCCTAGGAGTCTTTCATCGCTGAGGACTGTCCTGAGGAAATGAAAAATATCGTAAAGCCAGTAGATTTCTTTTGAAAATTGTCAGCGACCAGTTATAAACGTTTTTCAGTTGCCTGACAAATATAAGTTGTCTACAGACTTGTCTTTTTTTTAATGTTCCATAAAGGGAAATAATCGACCCTTTTTCCAACTCCACAGTGAATTAGATAACTGCACATCAGCTATTGAATACACAGACAGAGGGAGATAAATCGATAAGTGGTAGCTTCAGCAACTGTAGTCATATTCAACACTAGAAAGATAAAATTAAACGATTCCTGATTTTACAGTAATCAACAGATCTTAAAACTGATACGCTACAGTTATGTGTTTATTATGGTGATTTACTGGATTGTGGCTAGCAAAGGAATCCGAGAAGCGCATTTCGCCCTGTTTCGGGACTCATCAGTTCATTGCACCTCCACCCCAGTGTGGAGTGATATTGTTATCACTGAGACTTGAACCTCAAACGAATCGATTCAAATGCCAAAACGACATTCACTAGGCAAGTTAGGCACGATAGCGACCTAGGATGCATCATCATCATCACCATCTATCAACATTGGACCAGGCATTACCACGTAACGTCGTTGAGATGAGGCTAGTGTGTGTATACATCTACGACACTGACAATGGTTGTCAGCCATATCACATAGAGTCTCCAACCACTCGTTCCGCTTGTCCCCCCCACGGACACCAACCAACTAGTCTGCATCGACCAACATCGCTCAAACCAAAAGTCAAACACTTCATACATTGGTGACAAGTTTTAGTCTGGTCACCTCCAGCCCTTTTCCAGCATCCACCTATTTCGGCCAACATTGTGTGATGAGGCAATTGGTGACTAGGCATATGTAACACATGTCCCAACCATTTCAGTCGATGAAGGTTCACAACCTCGTCAACTGACTTACCTCTTCTCCCTCCCTAAAACTCTACACCTGACTTCTGAGTTACTCATGTGGAATTTTATCTTTCTAGTGTTGAATATGACTACAGTTGCTGAAGCTACCACTTATCGATTTATCTCCCTCTGTCTGTGTATTCAATAGCTGATGTGCAGTTATCTAATTCACTGTGGAGTTGGAAAAAGGGTCGATTATTTCCCTTTATGGAACATTAAAAAAAAGACAAGTCTGTAGACAACTTATATTTGTCAGGCAACTGAAAAACGTTTATAACTGGTCGCTGACAATTTTCAAAAGAAATCTACTGGCTTTACGATATTTTTCATTTCCTCAGGACAGTCCTCAGCGATGAAAGACTCCTAGGGCTGTCCATAGACAAAAATATAAACATGTAAACTTTTTAACGAGGTAATCTTTATCAAAAAGAATGCTTCTTTCGAACTATTGACAGTTTGAGAGTACTGGACAGCTGCTTCATTCTGGTATGGGACTCCGAAGTGGTGCACACTCATAACCCTACCAGGGATTGAACCAGATACATTCAGGTTTTATGACGAGCACGTTACCAGTGAGCTACAGTCGAGGGCTGTTATATTTTCGTACGCTAATAGTTATATATATATTGAGGAACGAATATAATACGCACGCTTAGCTGACAGCTAACACAGTATGCAAGAGACACTGACCACAACCCTGAGACGATAATACAGAGAAGAACGAAGCTGGCAGATGGGAGAGTGTATTACTTTGAGAATATAATATAATAACCAATCCTGTAACACGTGACTATGTACACATATGAAAATGACCTTGTCCTCAATTTGAGACATCTGCATGATAAGAGTAAAGATTAACCAATCAGCGATTTACATCAGGATGGGGGTGGGAAATGGACTATTAGTCATGTGGTAAAAGAAATGGTGTGTGAATGACACGTTGAAATGTTCAGATCAATAATAATGTTTTATACAAAACTGAGGCCTTACAACAAAAAGGGACAAATGCGCGTGCTGGATTCTTCTGTTAGACACAAGCAATGAAATTCGTATTCAAGTTCAATTTATCATTTATGCTATAGTTATGAAAAACTTTCCTCAATATTATATGACTTGCACTCATAACATCTTATAAACTAACATGTATTATACTTCATCAGGTTGTATGAACATAATTGAAAGGAAAAGAGAAGAAAAACGTCTAGAAACAAACCTAATTTATGTTTTTCTTTTATCACTTTCTTTTTGGCAATTTTAGCATTTCTATGTGAAGTAGAAATCTCTTTAGCTAATTCATTGATTGTAGCCTGTTGTTGCTTCTTTTTATTCATTAATTCCATTAACTTTTGATTTTTTTCACTTTTCAGTTGATTAACATTACTACGTCGTTTACAATAAAGATTATATTTAGCAATTGATGAAGCTCCTTCATGACTTATCATTGTATTCAGACGATTATGTTCCATTTGTTTTAATTGATTCAATTTAATTTTAGCCTCTTCTTCTGTTTTCCATGCTTGATAAGCTACATCTGTAAATGCTCCTGATTCTAGTTCATAGAGTCTACAGAAAGTGTAACATAAAGTATTAAAAGTGACCTTGATTACGAATTTTAGCATTGGTGAGTTCACATGACCTTGAAAAAACAGGCAGGTTTTAGACTTGGTTGAGAGTGTATCGATGATAATTTCACTCTCCCAAAGGTTTTGAAACACAGACGTACTTTACCGACGACCAAAACTTGCCACATTTGTTGACCTCAAGGCAGCATTTGACTCTGTCGATGGTGGGATGTTGTGGCAGTGCCTGACTATGAAGGCAGTAGTAAGCAAGAATCTAACCTAAATCAAACCTCTCCTTCAAAAACCATACAGCCATGTCAGGATTTATGAAACGTTATCATGTCAACTGATGACAACTAATGCTGTCCGTCAGCAGTGTCTACTGTAACAGACGTACGTCTGACTTCATAGGTACTGATCTACATCATTGAATTCATCTGGTTGATTCGAAGTGTGAAGATGATCTTCTTCTGCTAGATGAAAGCACTGACGAAATGAAAGTTTTCTAGACATATTCAGCAGGAATCTGAGTATGTTTGGCTAGCATGCATTTCACTGGCACCTGTCAAGTGTAAGATGATACTCCTGGACTATTCGTCTGCAAATACTCACAGATTAATGATAGGGAGTGAAGTGGTGGAATGTGTCGACCAATTCACTTGCTTGGGAGTTGCAATAGCTTAAATGGGTTAGTTGCTGACGAAAACTTAACTCGGATACAGAAGGCCCGTTCTACATTTACAGACTTTCACCATCTGTAGTTTCGACTAGCTAGGAAGCCGAGTATCTATCTATGTCAGGATGAGTATACTGCGCTGCAGTCGGTTCTGTCCTGTGAGATATGGACGTTGAAAAAAGAACACATGAAACGATTACAGGGTTTTGATCATTCGATTGCGCACATTTGATGGAAACATCGTGTGAGTGATGTTGAAGTCAGGCAAAGGGTACTAGGCAAGACAAACAAGTCGACTAATAAGGTTGTGAACATTCTGTCTGTTTGTTCCATTGCAACTTTTATGACCCGACATGTATAAAATCACCGATTACAAACTTAGTTCCAAATTGAAAAAACATTCCATCCGGTGAATTGATCCATAACATTTTCCATAAAATTTTGAAGCCATAACAACTTAAATGTAAAATTTACTGAAAATACGAAAAATTTCCATCAAACTTACTGGATTACAGACCTTCATTTGAGTTTCATCTCTGTATGGCTTATTAGCATTTTCAGACCAAGCAAGACATAAATTCTGCTCATTAGCTTCTCAACTTATCGGTTTCACAGAACTAGTAAACAATAACTCTAGGAAACTCGTTTTTTCTTCAACTTTATTTTCATTTCAACTATCTGATATAGCAGCCGTGATTTGGTAGATCAGCATTGATGCTGGATGATGAGTGAAGGTGAAATGGAAATCTGGACTGCGGCCGGATTCGAACCAGTGACCACCGGTTACATCGACCTCACGAGCTACGAAGTCGACTGTGACCTTTTTGACTGATCAGCATGGGTTTTGCCCGACTACCATTGGATTCGTGACCACTATCACCTGATCGTATTCACACTGACTCCAACAAGGACTTCTCATCGAATCAAATGTAACTGAGCTGGGGGAGCGTCAAATGGATTATCTTTTGACTATCTGAGATAGTAGCCATGGTTTTGGATGAAATCTGGACCCTGGCCGGATTCGAACCAGTAATCGTCGGGTTTCACTTCCCCTTCAATCATCACCCAGTATCAATACAAGTCTGCTACGCCACGGTTGCTACCTCACATAGTCAAAAAGATAATCAATACGATGCTCCTTCCCTCTTATTCAGTTAGATGTAGATACGGATGAGAAGTCCTGACTAGACAATGAAGATGAATATGACACATCATGAATTCATATGGTAGTCGGGAAAGCCCATAATGATTGGAGTGAAATAAAAATGTGGTCAGCAGTTGGACCTCGTAGTTCAGTTAATAGAGCATCAGGCCAGAAACCCAGTGGTCGCTGGTTCGAATCTGGTTATGGTTCAAATTTTCATTCCACCTCCAATCACCACCCTGTATTAACTTTATTTATATTGACAGCCAGTCTCTTTTTACAAACAAGTGACAAAATCTACAGTCTATACATTTAACCACAAATTATATACACTAATTGCGTTAGTCTAAGGCGTCTGAGATGCGAATAAATTATGAGGTCGTAAATAATAAGTTTGTAGCTCATAAGCTGTACAACTACATACTTCAGATCTCTAATAAAACTGAGTTTTTCCTTAAGTTGTTTGGGATCATGCGTGTGCATTGATGAGGAGTCCCATTACTATTATTGTTATTATTATTTTTCTCTTGGGTTCCTAATGGAACATAGGGCTTCAGTAGTACGGCTCCAGTGCACTCTGCTCTCTCGAGTCTTTTCAACCTCGCTCCACGACTGCCCACAAGCTTTCATTTCTTCCTCACACCACCTCCTTCATGTCACCCTCACGTCGGACAACCAACTCGTCGTTTTCCATCTGGATTCCACTAGACGACCTGGTCTGGTGCGTGATGTCCCCAATCGGCCTTCTCAGTGTATGCCCAATCCATCTCCACTTCCTTCCAATGCATATTTGTTGGATGATAGGTTCTTGTTTGGTTTGTTGCCAGAGTTCCTTGTTGTTTATTCTTTCTGGCCATCTGATCTTCAGTATCGAGCCAGCGTAGGCGGCAGCTGTTGATCAATGTTTGTAGTTTGTTGGAAGTACTTTTCGCAACGCGTCAAGTTAATGAACCACATAGCATTGGTGTTGAAAATCGGGATCTTGTTCTCACTTTATGCTGAGTGCAGTAGATCTCCACACTGATTTCAGATTAATGAAAGCTTGTCTTGCTGTCTTTCCGATCCTGACTGGTTTTGACATCTTCGTCTGTGCCTGCGCCGCCGCCACCTATAGTTGAAACGATGCTGCATCCCAGGTAGGTGTAGGTCAAAGAGACTACTTCCTTTAGGTTTCTCCCGTTAATGGTGATTGGTGCCTCCTCTTGTTGATGCTGTTGTTGGCTGGGTATCTTCATCACCTCCGTCTCCTCTACGTTCAATTGAAGTCCCGTCTTCGCTGCCTCTTCTGTCAACCTGTTAGTTTTCGCCTGTAGACCTTCGAGTTTGTGCGACATTAGACACAAATCATCGTCGGCGAAATCCAAATCTTCTAGACTCTTCCCATCGGTGAAACAGCGGATGCCCCCCTTCTCACAGCTCCTCACAGTTTGCTGCGTGATCCAGTCCACCACAATCAGGAATATCATGGGTGATAGTAGGCGGCAACCATGTCTTACTCCTGTCTTCACTTCAAAGGCATCACTGAGCTTTCCACTACGGATCACTTGGCACTTCATATAGCTGTTGAATGAGGTTGATGAAGACTAGTGGCACTCCGTAGTATTGAAGCAACTGCCAAATGACTTGTTGGTTGACGCAGTCGAAGGCCTTTTCAAAGTCAATAAACTTGAGGTAGAGAGTTAACTTCCATTCTATACTGTGTTGTCTGATGATGCGTAGCGTTGCAATTTGATCCGCATCCCATACTATGATGAAACAGCTATCCAGTGCTCTCAAGATTCTAATGTTCCTCCAACTAATGTCACTCTGTGATGAATAACAACTTGAAATCAATCCCTAAATTCCTATAAATACCTTAATTCAACAATAAACAGTTTGTTAAGCGTATCTACCTGCTTCAAACCCTGGTATCTTACTAAATATAATAAAAAGCCAATGATCTCATAAAATTAGTTAACTGAAATGTAAAAACGGATAAACTTGAAAGATATTCATCTAAATCGATAATATGCATAGAATTATTGATCTGTACACTATCTAGAAATCAGTTTTCTCATATAATTCATTTCATTCCTTAGTTGATTGCATAATAGTTCAAGAAGTCCAATAATTACGTTTTGAATCGTAACGTCATATGATCACATTTAGATTGGATGTTAATCTTTAGAATAATTACTGTTAATTGTAATTATCTTGCTTTTAATCTCTTAACCAACTATTTTCAATTATATAATTCATATAATATTCAATGAAATAATTTGTTTAAATCAATTTTTCAACTTATTCAATGTGTTCAACAGAAATATGAATTAATCTCACTTATTTCTTTGCTCTTTCTCTCTATCCAAATAAACTTTCCATTCATGTAGAATAGTAACAATATTTGTATTGATTACAACAGTCTTATTTAATCCAATTAGATAATTCTTTTGTTTCATTATATTTTTATTACTTTCTGAATCATTTTTACCTTCTGTAGTAAATGTACAATTGTTAATTATCATCTGAATGAAGATCATTTTGTTGTTGTATACTATTTGTATTATTATGAATGACTTCTGTACATCTTGACCTAAGTCTATCACTTTGAATCTTCAATTTCTTAACCTATTAGTAAAATATATCGAAGAAATAAACAGTAATAAACTTACAGGATCATATATGTCAAAAGATACATCATTAAACCAGGGTATAAACTTGTTATGATTTGAAAACTCCTATGTAGTATGGCCGCTAACAATGCATGAATATCGAATGTCAACCAACTTGATCCCCTACTCTTACTAATTACTGGAGAAGATACCATGAACCTGAAGAAGTGGGTATTCGACCCCCAAAAACCGAAGATCAAAATCAAATGAAAATATATTGAATATATTTTCGAGGGAGTTGTGGAGATTTGGAAATATTTCAAGTTGTTATTCATTGTAGACTGAAATCAGTTGGAGGAATAAAGGAAACCTGGGAGCACTGGACAGCTGTTTCGGCCAACCAGTATGGGACTCCTTAGTAGTGCGCACCCATGACCCTGCCAGGGATCGAACCCGGGACACTCAGGCTCCGTGGCCTATAACATACCGATCGAGAATGAGGTTCGTGGCCGTATATACAGGATGACCTATGTTCACGTGGTTGTGTGTGTTGGCAGCAAAAACCATCCTTACGGCTCACAGCACTACAGTCTTGGCATCGATGTTGTTTAAGTGGACACGATTTGACGAAATGCCAGAAAGGTGATGTGGGTGTCTTCTTCGGGAGTTGGTCGGCATCGCATGAGTTACTGGGCTGATGAGCAGGTGAGATAAGGCTATGAGGTATATAACCAAAGGATGATGCGGATGAATGAGAT